AGCTGCAGTTTAGTCAGCAATCCTCTTCCTTCAGGTCATATCAGAGTCTTCCTCTTGCTCCGTATACGCCAGCCTCATTGAGCAAGCCCCTAAAGTCGCAAACTAACTTGACGCTGCAGGCTTTCTTATCACTGTGCCGCATGCATACCGAGTAAATCTCGTGATCAAAAATTTATTTTATGGACCACGTCTATGATCATATTTATCTATTAATAGCTAACTATCAATGGCCACCACCGCTCCAGTCGCCCTTTTATCCCTAATACGAAGTATATGGCTTTCTTATGCACTAATCTCTTGTTTGCCGACTCCCAAATGTGATAGTTCTACTTGATTTGAATAAGCTTATTGTAGACATCTCCTCTTGGTTTCCGATTTGTCCTTTCTAGTCTCATTGTAATTTATTTTCCAAAAATTAAAAATACTAGCTTGTTCCAATCGTTTTCTTTTGCTGATATTGCTATTCCCTGATATTCTCCGAGCTTGCTTAGGCAATCTGCAAACTTTTCGCTAATCCTGCCTTCTTCAAGTCTTCTGTTCATTAGATTGCTGGGACGAGGAGTTGGACAAACTCACTAGGTTTTGCCTTAGTAACGGGTACTCCAGAAAATTTATAGAAAATTATATTAGGGTCATAAAAGGCTGATTTGAATTAGTATTTTATGAAAATAAGATCAGGAATCGGGGGAATGACTAAAAGCAGATATGTATGCACTACTGTGGACTAAGTAAAAAATTTCGGTCATTACCAAGGCAATGTAATATCTAAGTTATAACAAAGAAAAAGCGTCACTTCACAAATGAGTAAAGGCTACTAGTAGATATATGACTGGTAGTTGAATTTTTCCACAATGATATGAGTATAGCCGACATTTCCATTAAATTTCACATTGCATTGCTTTCCCAAAAGTTGTTCTTATTCGGAGTGGACGGCAGTTTCAACCTGCATAAGAAAATACCTGACATTCCTTGAAACTTGCATCCGCCTTGTGTCCCAAAGGCAATGTGGCGTAGTCGTTAACGTGACGAGCGCACACACTGCACTGTCATTGTTCGACTCCCGCTTGGGGTGTTGGTAAGACCTATGTAAGGCCGTAACTGCAGTCCAACCTGGATGAGAACAACTTTTTGGAAAGTAAGGTTATGTGAAATTCAATGGAAGCGTCTGCTCTACTCATGCCATTGTTGGAATATTAAACTACCAATTCATCACTTTAAACAATATGGGGTGAACACAACTCATACAAATGATTTAGTGGTAGTCTTTAAAACCTACTCACTTACTAGCACAGTGGTTCCCAAACTTTTCCTAGTCGCGGCGCTCTTTTTCAATTAAAATTTTTCCACAGCGCCGTACTCTAAGTATGACTATTCTTAAGAGATAAAAAT